ACAGTACAGTATGCAATAAAACCAGCCACTGTCTAAATCATTGAGCTATGCAGTGTTCTGGGCCCAAGTGGGTATGGAATAGGACCAGCCACTGTCTAAATACTAGCCCAGCACCACGCATCACCCCCCAGCTGGCCCATTTGGGCCCAAATGGCCAGCCTACTTAGCCCCCAGCCACTGGAACCCTAGCTCCCGACCTCTCCAATCGCCGCCGCCAGCGCCATCACGCACGAGAGCACGCGTGCACGCGACCCGCGCCTCCTGCCGCCTTCCGCCGGTCCCGGCCGCTGCCGCCGCGAGCCCGCCGACCACCACCATGCCTCCTCCTTTCCTCTCCTCTCTCTCTCTTCCTTCTCTCCCGTCTCAAGGCCGCGTGCCCCTACGGGTCACGGCCATGGCCGCCGCCTGAGCACAAGCTCCAGCCGGCCGCCGCACCTGGCTGCGCCATCCGCCGTCCCTGCGGTGGGTGGCGGCGGCGGCGGCAGGGCAGTGGGTGCTGGCGGCGCCTCGTCCCAGCTGAGGCAGCTCTCTTTTTTGAGTCGCTCGACTCATATATGTCGACTAGTCCAGACTAGTCGTCGACTAGTCCATCCACGGCTCGACTCGTATTTGTAGTCTACACGAGAAAATGAGTCGACATCCACTCTGCGACTCGTAGACTAGTCGAGCGACTAGTCTAGACTAGTCGTTCGACTCGTAATCACTGGCATCCAGTTCACGTCAAGTGTGCAGTTATTAGTCACAGTTCTCATGTTTTCAGTTGATGCTCAAACTTGTAATCTTCCATGTAAGCTATATATGCGGTGAATTTTCTTCCTACCATCAAGAGCTTTTTCCTCTGACTACTTCAAGTTACGAGGGTCAAGGAGCTACCAGGTTTGGATACAAGTTCTCTGTGGCTCCAAAAGGTGAACTACCAAGAGAAATACTGATACCATATCCAGTTCTCCACGGCTCAGCTGAAGTATTTTGCTAAGAAAAATAAACTCTGCCCCGCCGTCGTCAGGGGCAACGCGTCTGAGATCCTTGCCCTCGCCTCCAGCTCAGATGACTCCTCCTTCAAGGTACCTGCTCTTGCCCTACCTTTATTGCTATTGTGGGAATCTCTTCTTTCTCAATTTGCAATCCTAGCGGTGACTAACACAAGATCTTGATTAAATAAGATGATTGATTGTCAAATTGCCATGTGCAACTGTAGGATAAACAGGGCCTTCGGTTATTTTAGGGTCAAAAGAGATTCCGTTCAATAGAATTGATGAGATGAGATCAATAGTTAACTGGATGAAATGAAGTGAAGGAAAATACGACATCTGAACATTCTCCTCACTACGTTCCAACCTACCTTCTCTACTAGAATTAATGGCCTTTACCTTCCTTTTTCTTGTGGCTAATTTCAGTTTTGAAAGAAAACCTAGCTTTAATTGAAAGCTAAAATAAGCAGTCTGATACAACCTGTAAGGTCCAGACCTGTGCGCGTGTGTTTGTCAGACATCAGCTTCCCCTTGGGGAGTTTGATGGCTTCAACGGCCATTGTGGAGTTACATCTCGAGCCTTTGCTAAAAGGAAATCACATCCAGGAGATGATTGATTAATGAAAGCCCTCTTAGCAATTGTAGGGATGTTAGTGACTTTAGAGTTCCTCAAGCCTGTAGAAGCTAGAAAGAAGTCAGCAAGGATAGGCCTGATGCTCCAGTGAACAGGATTAAAGAGAAGATCTTTTGCCTTCAGTAGCAATCTGCCAATCTCCAAGGTTTCGAAATCTGTGAGAAAATTTATTTCCCTCCATCCGAGAGCTCTAGCTCCTAAAGCCGCCAAAAGTAGCGAGCTTAGGTCCAAACATGCTGAAGTTACCTTGTGCCACAAGTGCAGAACACGGGAACAGCAACAATG